ATATGCACCACACAGAGAGAGAAATACCACACACAACACATCCTATGACATTTCAAGCAGTGGGTTATACCTGGTTAATAAGGCAAGTTTGATTCTGACCAGCCCCAGGATAGAAACGTATTTTATGCCATCTTCAGGACTTTCCAAAAAGCCACATGATTCCTCTACAAAAAGCACTTTTTTGTGGTGGTTGAAAGAACCTCCTTTATCCTCAAAGCTGTTAATCCTCATACCAGTGCCACAAACTGGGAATCTGAGCTCACCTCCATGGCTTCCTTTCTTAGTGCACACACCCACTCTTATCCTTTCATCTCTCACATCTGGATCCCTGGCACATAGCACAAGGGTATGAAAAGTAAGAAAATGGGAACCACATTATCAACTCATGCCAAGACTTTTAACTGACAGATGTCTGCGGCAAACAGACTACCACTATTCTGCGACCTGTCAGAGTAACCAGGAGGCACCACGCCAATCTAATGATTTGCTTCAATTGCCTTGTGTGTTAAAAAGAAAACCGCTAAGGGAGAGTTTTTATCCCTTTAAACAAGAAGGTTTGGGCCTTTTTCCCATAGTAAGGATTCATATTCCCTTTGCAGTTCCCTTCTGTTGGTCCTAACAGTGCCATTATTTCTGCATGCCCTAGGTGTAAGGGCAAAATACTTTTGTTTGTAGGATTAACCTTATTATTAAAGGGCTTTTCATCCAGTAGGAATCAGTGTTGCAGATCTAGGATAATTGTACCCAAAATGACTCATCAGCCTTCAAACCACAAGGAGGAGAAATCAGCTCGAAAGCGTAAAGGCTCCAGTACTGACGGCTAAAAGGCCCTGATTAACAGGCCTGCTTGCAGCACAACACCGACAATTCCCAAGTACATTTAGTGGAGAAGGAGCAATGCCCTTTCAGCGCTGGTTTTCAGTGCTTTCTCCAATCCCAGGTCGAACGTTTATCCCTCGTCATTTAGGGCCAAGGGGAAAATAATGATGCTGGGGCCTAATAACGCCGAATACGGAGTGTGCGCAATTTCCATCGATTTTGTTGGGCGCTGAGGCCACTCGGTAGCTGGCAGAATTGGCCCCTTGGTTATGGCATTGACAGTGTATTTCACCCCACGTGCCATTCTAAGTGACAATGGGGAAGAGACCACTCTAGGGAAGGGGGAGTGGTTTGAGAAGCGCCTGCATCCTGCCTTTGGAATATACACGGTTTCACTGAATAAGGGATGCTAGTCAGCTGACTCAGATGCGTCCCTGTCAACTTCTGAATGGGGCATGTACTACTGTAGCTTATTAAAAAAAAAAAATTATCCATAAAGTTCTGTTCCAAGGTGGTATAATTCTCCCCCTTCTCAAGAAACAAGTCACAAACAACGAGACCACACTGCACGTTTTCCATTGGACATCAGAACTGTCGCCTGACATCCATTCCAGACTAACAGGGTCATATTTCTCCTGGTTTAGCCACTCCTATCCTTTTCAACTGGAAAAATATTAAACTGTCCTAAGTGGCCAGAGACTAAGAATATTATTTTCTTAGCTCATTCTAGATTAATGTAAACAGCCAAGGGGAGAAGCAACAGATGGTAACAAAATACTTAATAATTTCCAGCATTTTTATTTCTTTTCAAAGACCATGCTGTGCATTCTTATTACATTTTTCTCCACCACTAAAGGAAATGGCTGTTTCCAAAAATATTCGCCCAGAAACCTGATTCACTTTTATGAGGATCTGTAAAAATAAAGAGAGACTCCAACTTTGTCTGTCAGTTAAATTTAATGTGACACCACTTGTAAAAAACCAGGGGTCATTGTGGCTTGGACAGGAATCACTGAGACAGCCCAGCTCATGTCACTTATGGCCTGGCCTCTAGAATAAATCAAGGTCTGCAAATAATTTTCTTTTCCCCCTTGAATAGCAGAGGTGTATTTGCTCCCGAGCAGGACAACGGAGAAGTGAGTTTTCACTTCATTGCATTTTATTTCAGTTTTATTTTAGTCCTTTTAAGAAACTGGGATTAAATAAAAGGGGGAAGAGAACTTAACTGCGGTTGGGGGGAAGTTAACCAGATAAAAGAACATTAGACGTTGCCTTTAAATGACCAAATCTGGCTCCTCCCACATTTGAGTAATCCAATATCATACCAGGAAGCTCACTGGGAACATTCAAGACCTTTCACTTCAGAGAGAGATGCTACTCAGAACAGCAAGATTTCTATACACTGACCGTTATAGATGCATGGAACCTCCTAGTCCATAATGAGTTTTAGATGGACATACCTCCACGCTCCTGATCCAAATCTCCCTGAAGCCAATGAGTAGTCTCCCTAAAAGCACTCCAAACAATATAGAGACTGACAGTATGTCTAAGCTGCTACGACACTACTGAAATACATCCCTGGCTAGTTGCCCTGCAACAGGACTGCAAAAACTTTGTATTCTTTCCATTTACATTTCTGAAATTGACAAGGATTTAGCAGTCTACAAATGGCAAAAGAAGGTAGTACAATGGCCACTGATGTACCATCCGAGGAGCTGCCTGCTTTAAAAGAGGATGGTCCCAGAAAATATTCTTTCCTCTATCCAAATACGAAGATGGACATCAGATCCGGTCCCTATCCAGCCAAAGACCATTGCTCCAGGTCATAATCCAATAGATTGCAATGCAATAGAACATCTGGGAGTCGCTCTGAGGTGATATTAGTTTTTCCACCACTGAGGTTCTATCTATAGATATTTATCTTTCAGTAAAGAAAATATTTTCTCTCTCACCTAAGAACTTTTTCTTGCAATTTTTGACAAGTCCCTTGCCTCCTTTTTATAAATAAGTCCTCTTGGGTTAGAACGAAGAACCTTGAAATGACAATAGTTGATCATTATTCTGTTATGGTTTGAATCCCCCACGGCTTGTCTTGGTAACACATAATGTGCCAAATAGTGGTTGGGCTTCCAAAAGAACTTATGTAAACTTCAGAATTAAGGCTGAAGCTAAGACAGGCTGTATTAAATGCTTTTGCTAGTCAGTAACATTGGAATCTCAGTTTGACATTAGCTGCCACCCCTTCAGTTGGCCCTAACTGTCCTGCAAAACTCCATCATGGTTCCTATCTCGCCTTTTAAAATCATCAAAGTGGCTTTGCCCCCAAACCTCCTCTTATTCTTCCTCCCACAGTACTAGAAAAGGAAATCTACTAAAGAGCAATATTTATTTCATTCGCAGACGACAAACCTCTGCAGATACCCTTTAGAGCCTCAGTAGAGTTAAACTATTGTAAGTTCAAAGAACTTTCAAGGTAGATCCATCAGTATTCATCTATCCAGCCTATGCATTCCAGAGTTAATAATTGTGAAAGCCAGTATTAAAATTAACCAAAAAAACTTCTCAAAAAGTAAGTAACAAAATCAAGTACTCAGTCCTCCTTTTCTATAACGCAAAAAAGGTGACTCCTGGAGCTGTTGTTGTTTTTGTCCTAACTGTTGCATTTTGTAGTTTCTCCTTTACCAAACCCAGCAACAGTAATGGGGGGGGGGGATGCAAAACGGAGTTAACAAAAGTACAGGCAGCATACAACAGAGGGCGTACGCTTTCTAAGTTTCTAAAAGCAAAGTTTGCAAAAGTTTTTTGCACTGAGATCTCTTGCTTTGATCCGGGAGAGAAGAGAACCGATTATTTCTTGACAAACGTTTGCTCTCTTCCAGCAGAAACTATGCAAAGAAGAGACGTTTACAATTAATTCAAAATAGCTGTATAGCGAAACAACAAAAGTCACTAAAAATACATTTTGATTCCTTTTTTTAAGTGTGCCTGGCAAGTGGCAGATCTGTTTTAAGGAGAAAAAAAAGGATTGTGTTTTAAGTTTTTCCCTTTTATGGGCCCCCTGACAAATGGCATTCACAGGACTTAGGCAGCTAAAACATTTTTTTTTTTGTTTTTTAGGAAATGCATTGGGTAAGAAAAGACAAATGTTTTGCAAAGCACAATAGAAAGCAAGCTTTTCTTTTTTGTTACAAGTTTTCTGAAGTCTTCAGTCAGCTCACCCATATATTTGCTCCAGACATAGATGACATGAACATTAGTCAACAGCAATCATGTTTTAACAAGGCTAAGTTAAACAAGGGAGAGAGAAAGCGATTTCTGTAGCCTGAAGGCAAACTATTTATTAAGGACACAAAGAACGCATATAAACAAAAGCGCCTTACCTGCTTTGCTTTGAGAAATTGCATAGAGGAGAAATATTGCTATAGTTTTGGTCCTTATCCAACTTCTTCTTTTCCACCTTGTGTGTGTATCCATGGTCCACAATAAAAGGGGGATCAGCTTGGGGGGATTGAGCAAATGCTCACACAACCTTAGGTCTGGGGTAGAAAAATCAAAGGAAAAGGCTCAGATCCCCCGCCCCCCAGAAGAAGCAACTTTTATAAGGCCATGAACTGGACGTTTGTGTTTGATTGGTCTTAACTAGGATGAGGGTCTGAACTTGCTCTGTTACTGTATTTTTGTTTTGGCTTGTCTTGCTTTCTTGGTATAGCAGGTCCTTCTTCGCTTCCCTTCCGTCTCTCCTCCTCCTCTTGGTCTGATTCTTCTCGGGCTCCCCTCTCAAGTGATGTCCCCCTTCCCCTGACTAATCGAGGAGTGGAAACTTTTTTTTCTTCCCTTCTTCTTTTAAAGCAGATGCGAGAGATTGTCAATCGAGATCCAATGCAGCAAATCAGAGTTTAGGAGGCTGCAGGGCTCTGCCCCCTTCCACTGGAGTCCAGGAGAAACGGGGGGGTGGGAAGAGGGAAAGAAGTTTTTAAAAGAGAGAGAGAGAGAAATTGAATGTGTGGCATGGGGCGATATTTCTTCCTCCCTTCCTTTGGCAGCCTTGATTTCTTTCCCCGTCTATCTCCAACCAGATCCGAGAGCTGCACAGGGGCAGGTCCCAGCGGCAAGTTTGAATGTGCAGCCAAAGACAGGAAATCGAGCTGTTGCAAACAAAGTTGCTGCTGTTTTGGGCTCTTTTGCTAATGGAGCCATTTGAATTCAAGGAGTTTCCAGTCCGAATCTATCAGTGCATTGGAGATGTTGCAGGGTTGCTTTGTTTGTTTTTCAGCCCCGGCACCAGGAGTCCAAAGGACCTACAAGAAGCCTAGAGATTTTTTAATTCCTGGTTCAGCGTTTCTTGATTCTTTGTGCTTCTTGGGACCAGAGGTAAATAGTGTTAAAGCAAAAAGAAACAAAATTGCAATGGAATAATAGAAAGCAATATTTTCAGATCAGTTGTAAAAGATTGGTTTGCAACAGGTTAACCGGGGAGTGGGTGGAAGGTGAATGGGGATGTTGAATGGAGGAATGAGAGAGAGAAGGTGGCCGAGGTAATATCTTTTATTGGACCAATTTCTGTTGGTGGAAGAGACAAGCTTTCAAGTTTACACGGAGCACTGGGTAAGCTTGACTCTATTGCCAACCAAGTTGGCCCAGTAAAAATTAGAACCTTGTCTCTGTAATATTTTGGGCCCAATAGGGAATCAACAACCCTGCAACCAACACCTGAGGAAATGGTTATTGCCAACCCAGCACAGTTATGAGCTGAACAGCTAAGTGAGCGTGTGAAACCTCAGCCACCAAGTTCAGCGTGGCCGGACCCTCGTTGGCAAATGGACTGAGGAAGAGGGAAAACTTTGAAACACTGTTAAAAGCATTAAAGCTTTTACATCCCCTTAGGACTGCACTTATTACAGTTTGCCACTATATCCAACACAGGGCTCCTCCCCTCCCACTGCTGGGGGGACCTCGGTTGTGTCTGTGCCCACTGGGTGCAATCCAATGACCAAACTCCCATTGATTTCAGTGGGGCCAGGATTTCACCCACAGACCCTGGGACGGACCTGTTTGGAGATCTCACCCTTTGTCTCCCTGATCTCACTATATCCTATGTCATTCTAAAGCTTCTCAACTGTCCTGGGTCATCATCGCTGGCCAGTTTTATGGTTTTCGTCGTCCTCTGGCAAACCTTCCATCGATTTGCTGGTGTGTGGAGTGGACCCTTCTGTACTGGACTCAAATCTTGCTTCTCTATCTAGGTATTGATATGGTCCCTGACTTTGCAGTAATTATGCAATACTGTTTTGTTGACCTGCAGTTTATAGAGTTGGTCAACTTGGTGATAATTTTGCTGTTGGTAGTGTAGTTCATGCATTTTAGAGCACTCAGCTGGGAGCCAGGACTTCTAGGGTCTGTTCCAGATTCATGTGCTCATGGACATGTCACTTAACCTTCGTGCCTCAGTTTACCCATTGGGCACGTTAAGAGGTTTAGCTACTTACTGTTTGTAAAGCTCTTTCCAGCCTGAAAGGGGTTGGGCAGTGCCAAGTATTATTAATGGTTCAGATGGTCCCCTCCAGCCCCACAGGCAGAAAACCCACCCGATCTACAAGAGTAAGGAATGGAAAAGTAGTGATTCCCCCCCTCACACACACATCTTAGAGAAAGTGCCTCTACACAGGCTGGATCAGTGGGAAAGGGCTGGCAGGTAGTGAGGTTGATAAGATAGCAGCTCTCTAGGGTATTATCTTCCATTACCAAACACAGATGGATCATGTCAGCATTCATGTATCTGCTTTACCTTTCTACAAGTGACCCCTCCCTAAGCAAGCTTCAGGGGAGGAACCACCAGTGTGACTCACAGGCAACTGTCCAGAGGGTTCCTGTGAGAACCATGAGCCAGTGAAGGGAGGTAGGACTTGTGCACGCATCCCTTAAGATCATGTGCAGTTTGAGGGATCTCATGGTTTAGGGAGCATAATCCTGTGCACCTGAAGGAATCAGCACTTTCTTGTCCCCTAATTAGGAAAGCCCTGTGTAGAAGGTGAGATGGTCCATCATTATTGCATGGATAGAAAATAAGCCAGATTTCCCTATTTCAGAAGGATGACCCCTAGCCCACGCAAGGAGTTACATAAAGGTTCTAGCATCTGGGTTGTTTTTCTTTTGTGGTGGTGGAGGGGGTTATAATATTTTTGGCCAGATTAAAGCTTAATTTAGACACCCACAGCAGCTGTTTGTCAATTGGGGTCTGTTTTTAGCCTGTGTTACAGCTGGCTTGACTCAAAGTACAAAAAGGTCAAGTGACTTGCCTGAGGTTCCTAAGAGAGTCAATGGCTCATTCCAGATTAGGGGGTGGGACACTTCTGGTTTGCAGTCCTCTGGCCCTAATTATCAGTGTGCTGATTAGACCACACTGCCTCCTTTGAGAGATACTTAAAATCTTAAGAACATAAGAATGGCCATACTGGGTCAGACCAAAGGTCCATCCAGCCCAGTATCCTGTCTACCGACAGTGGCCAATGCCAGGTTCCCCAGAGGGAGTGAACCTAACAGGTAATGATCAGGTGATCTCTCTCCTGCCATCCATCTCCACCCTCTGACAAACAGAGGCTAGGGACACCATTCCTTATCCATCCTGGCTAATACCCATTAATGGACTTAACCTCCTTGAATGTATCTAGTTCTCTTTTAAACCCTGTTATAGTCCTAGCCTTCACAACCTCCTCAGGCAAGGAGCTCCACAGGTTGACTGTGCGCTGTGTGAAGAAGAACTTCCTTTTTTTACTTATTACTCTCCTGAAAGGTTTTTAGCCACTAGGGCAGGGAGGTTCTGGAACAGCCTCCCAGTAGGAAGAGTGGGGGCAAAAAACCTCATTTTAAAATGGAGCATGATACATTTATGAATGGGACTCTATGATGGGCTTGCCTGTGATAGCAAGGGACTGGACTGGCTGACCCCGCAGGTTCCTTCCCATCTTATGGCCTCGCTTCCTGTGAAAGAAAGTGACAAGGCTGAGAATGAGTTTGACACGGAGCTTTTTTCGAAACACTGGGATTTAGTGTTGAGGCCCTGGAGTATTCATTAGGTCAGAGTAGCTCCTGCCCCCTTTCATATAAAAATATACACAAATCAGTTACAGCAGTTATTACTGGCAGTAGTAACCGCCTGCCGTGCATGTCCCTCTGATCGCCAGAATCTGGGACTGGACAACAGGGCAATAATTGCCCTGTTCTGGGCATTCCCCTTGAAGCACCGGGCACTGGCTGCTGTCGGAAGACAGGACACTGGGCTAGATGGACCATTGATCTGACCCAGTGGGGTCATTCTTATTACAGTAGTGACTAGAGGCCCCCCTCAACACTGGGTGCTGTACCTATGCTTAGAGAGAGACAGTCCCTATCCCAAACAGCTTACAGTCTAACAGACAAGCCGGACAAAAGGCTGCAACAGAGGCTACGTCCATAGTACAAGTGAGGGGTGTGATTCCTCATGTACATGTACTCCTAGTTCTCAGCCGTGGACGCACGGCTGAACTGGTACAACAGCCGCGGAGGCACGGCTGAACTGGGCCAAGTACATATGTATCCGTTTCAGGCTGGTTTGTTCTCGGCACAGCTCAGCCATCCCTCCACTGCCGCGCCCCATGCTACCAAGCAGCCACCCTGCTAGTGATACTCGCACTAGCTGGATGGGAGCTAGCACAAGTCTGTACAGAAGCAGGGGATTCACACCCCCCGTGCGTAGTGTAGATGTAGCCAGAGAAGCAGGGTGATCGCGGGGATGGTTGGCACCTCTCCTTCGTTGTTGTTGACCGGCTGGGCTAGGTTTTTCCTACATTCCAACCCCCTTGCCCCAATCAAACTGGGAGTGTCCGCACACAAGCTACCTGAGAAACAGGACACTGGGGACAAAGTGGCCCCTGACTTGAACGAAGGATTAGATGAAACGCGCATTAGCTGAAATCCCTTGATGCATTAGCTCAAAAAAGAGTGAGAAATGCTTTGGACGGAGCCAAGTGTAGGTTTGATAAGATGCCAGTGATACTGCCTCCAAAATTATTCAGGTGCAAACCCCTTAATTAATGAGTAGGTGCTGACTGGACAAATTAAGAGAATACTGTTCAGGTACCTAGTGGGCGCCTGGAGCTGTTTGTATTTCAGCAGAGGTGTTACATCTACATCCTTAAAAATCCTGGGGGCTTTCAGAGCATTCAGCATACAAGTGCTGCGGCAGCAATAATGGTATCCTATGTTTATATTGCACCTTTCCTTCTGAGATAAAGTGCTTTAGAAATGACAGACATCCTATACAGGAATTATCTTTCCTCACCGCCAATTTGCAGCTGTCCCTGGGGTGGAGCTCAGAAGCCATTTCACAGCTCACAGCAACACTCTGCAACAGTATGAGAGGGGTTCAACCCCCTTCTCCCCGCATCAGATAGTGATGGTGAGAAGAAGAAAACGAGCACTATGTTAGGGCATTCTCTATGTAACGAGGACACTTAGAAAGGTCAGTGACCCCTGTGGTTGCAAAGGGCCTCCACAGGCAGGATCCTCCTTTCCAGTAACCCCTTTTACCATAATAATAAAACAAAACAATAACTTGATCCACGGTAGAAGCAATGTCTAGATAGCTGTTTAATAGAGGCCCCAGCAAACCCTTCAAATCATTGCTGGTTTGAATGATGCTACAGGTGCTGTCTGACTTTGGTCTCTCAATTACTTGAATGCGGGAATCTCATTAGTTCTCTTGTCCCAGATGTGGTTGGCATTTCTGATCATACAAAACAGCTCATTGTTTGGAAACGAGACCTTTTCTGTTTTGCTCCAGCTGCAAATGAAAGTCCCATTAGGGCTTTAATAGTCTCTTTACAATTGTGTTGAAAATCTGTGCAATTTCAATGGCACACAGCCAGGGGAAGAAAAAATATTTTCTTAAGTATGTTTAAGAACACATCCTAGGGGAATGAAAGAAGAGGCACACTTAGAATGGTGCAATACAACAGTGAAATTTACCCAGCATTCCAAGGAATTTCATTGTTGGGTTAAAAAGAACAAGGAGTCCTTGTGGCACCTTAGAGACTAACAAATTTATTTGAGCATAAGCTTTCGTGGGCCAGTGGGTTTTAGCCCACAAAAGCTTATGCTCAAATACATTTGTTAGTCTCTAAGGTGCCACAAGGACTCCTCATTCGTTTTGCCGATACAGACGAACACGGCTACCCCTCTGAAAACTGTTGGGTTAGGAAACCAAGGGATCAAACCAAGCTCAACAGCTGCATCGTCAGATGGTGTAACCTCAGATGATGTAAATCGGAGTAGCTCCTTTGAGTTCAGTGAAGCCATGCTGATTTACGCCAGGGGAGGGTCTGGGCCTGAAAGATCTTGCTGAACAGTGGGAGCTGTAGTTACCAGCCCGATTTCAGATGAGTGCAGTTTTCCAGGTGATTTAAGTTCTTGTGCAGACCTGTTTGCGTCTCCTAAACAGGAATGGAGAGATACAGCATTGCGGCTTGCAGTGGCACACTGGAAAATTCCAAAATGAATGTGCCAAGATTAAAGAGCCAAACCTTTAAGACTGAATATGCCAGATAGTCAGCTGGTGTGAACTGATGGAGCTTCATTGAAGTCAGGGGATCTGTGCTGGTTTAGGGCAACTCGGGAGTTGGCCCAGTGTCAAACTGGGTCACGTAGCTTAGCAAAAGAGGATATTGGTTAGAGATGGTCAAATGTTTACATTGTTTAAAAAAAAATCTTTATTGGCCAAATATTTGCACGTATAACAGCACTGAGTTCAGTTCACTGTTATTCCCGGGGGTCGCTTTATTTGGTAGCATTTGAGAAAGCCATTAGGTATTGGCCAAAATGTTTGCAAAGCCCACTCATGTAATGAAATGTTACATGATTGCATTATTCCGTAGGTTGAAAAGTTATACTCAGCCAATCAGGTAGCAGAAACAATGCTATGTGACTTAGGTAACCAACTGCACACTGCAAACAGCTGCTGCGAATACTTTAAGCACATCCCACATGCTGACAATTGTCCTTCTGAGCTATTCGGTGAATCATTAGGAATAATAAATCCATTCAGGAATGATTCAAATAGGCACTAGTTGTAACAAATATCACAATGAAATAGCCACACCGTTTTTTTCCTCTTTCTCTGCAATTATATGCCTTCTTTTTGGTTTCATCTAGCACCTGAACATGTGTGTCCTGGTAGAAGCTCTTCTTTAGGCACTGTCCAGCAGTGAAGTCATCATCCTGTATTATGACATCATACCTTGTTGCCACGGATATGATTGCTGTAATAAATTCAACCTTATGACTTTAAAGAAAAAAATGATGTGAATTTAGTGCTGTTGAAAGGCCCTGGATTAAAAGCCTTGGAAATTAAAGCCTGCCATATAACCACAGAAGATCTCAACCATCTCTTGGAGGGACCAGCTCTGCGGGTTGGAGGGAAGTTCAGTGTCCCTGGCCCCATTCATTCCTTGGCCTCTGTTGACGCTGCCAAGTAGTGTCAGGTGTGACAATGGTTTATGTGACGTGAACAACAATTCAGACATATTGCAGGACAGGTTGCAGGATTAGGTGGGAGAAGATGACGGAGAAAATGTGTCTGTTTATGTACAAACCTTGTGGATTATTAGCAATAGTGACAACTATATAAATAACACACGGTTGTCACTGCAAAAGGATCTGTGACTTTAAGCACAATCTGTAAAGGATTAACAGTTTCCCTCTAATGCCAAAAATCTGATGAATCTATGGACTATAGAAGGGGAAAAAAACAATATTCAGATCAGAACAAGGATTCTTTACCCAATTGCGGGGGGAGAGGGGGTGCATGCATGCAACGTGCATGGTTTTTTGTAATTCATCTTAATCAATCCATTGATCCCTTGATTTTTAATTCTGCTAGCTCTGATTTCTTGTCTATACTTTGACACTGAAAGTACTTTAGGAAAGTCTGAGACGCACTGAATTACAAACCAAGGCGAGAACTGGAAAATCGTAAATCTAACAGGGCTGCCATTATAATGTAATCAGGATTCTAAAAAAGATTACATTGATGGAAAAAACATTCCTAGACCTTTCCTGATGATGTTGGATAGTTTTCCCTACTCTGTTTTGCCTCTGGTTCTGTGTGAGATTAATATAGTTTCTTTTAAAATCTATTTTCTTCCCATTCATGCATATGACCCCACAGACTGTAAACCTGATTCTCCTCTCCCAGCAGTGTGAATGAGGAGTAACTCCAGCAAAGCCAATGGTGCGAAACTGCCGATGAGCTCAGACTCGGATCCTGGGCATTGTACTTGAATCAAGGCATTCCAATTGACATAAAATTAGTTCCCTTGACGACAAGTACTCTATTGAAAGGGAAATGGACAAGGCATCAGGTCCCAAATGTGTGTTCTAATCTCATTAGCAAGAGGTCCGCAGATTCCAGACTAGAAAGAAAGTTTGCTTCTATAATTGCCTTTCATTCAAAGGTTTCAGAGTAGCAGCCGTGTTAGTCTGTATCCGCAAAAAGAAGAACAAGAGGACTTGTGGCACCTTAGAGACTAACAAATTTATTAGAGCATAAGCTTTCGTGGACTACAGCCCACTTCTTCGGATGCAGTCTCTAAGGTGCCACAAGTCCTCTTGTTCTTCTTTCATTCAAAGCATTTTACAGACATTGATTAATTAAGCATCAAAATCCCTTTCCCAATGAGGAAAGTATGACCCCATTTTACAGAATGGTCAGTCCAGACAGAGAGGTGTGAAGGGACTTTTCCTCTCAAAAGTTACCTCTCCATCACTGGGAAATGGAAAGAAAAATGCCTATTTTTGTAGGGCTTACAAAAATCATGGTGCTTTGTGGTCCCCCTGCTGGCCGCGCAGCATCATTTCACCACAGCATTGCCACAGCCGCACTGGCCTCACATGGGCTCCTGATGCACAAAGAAAGACACTTGCTTGGCATCCAACTGAGGTGGTTGTTAAACAAAAACAACATTAACTTCAGTTCCCCTGAAAACAATGGGGAGGAAAATCCACATCTGCCAAATGTAAAATGATAAAAATCAGCTGGCAAAGCCATTGTTGTTCAAGCTGCCAAGCGGGTATTACAAATCAGGGAGATGAAAACACATTGAAAACTGGTAGAAATGAAATAGAATGACTTGGCCCTAGGCTATGGTGTTGCAGAGAACCTCTGGAATGAATGTAATCCCATTTGTCATGTGAGTTTAATTTTCTTTATTAATCAGTTAGACATTATCATTAATAAATATAATATCTGCTGTATCCAACTTGCCATCTTAATGTGAATTTCCACAAACTTTAGGTGAAGCAGGAGGCCTGCTTATTATTAATACTGAGCCTTCTCCTGCTACACTCACTCACACCAACTAGTAACTTACACCAAGTAGTAACTTAATTGATTTCAACAGGGCTACTCACGGATTCAAATACTATGCAACTTGAGTAAAGAGTGGTAGAATAGGGCCCCTTGTACTAGTACTGAAAACATGCTAGATGCTGTTCAAAGCAGAGCTTAATTCTCGGTCACGCTGTACCTTGTACAGTCCATTTACATCTGAGCAAAGTGGGTGTAAAACACGACCGGTTTAATTCAGTAGCCGTTAACACCCATTTTGCACTGATTTATATAACTACCCAAGGTGCAGGGCATCAGTGAATCAGGCCTATGTTCCCCTAGAGTGGCCTAGTTGTATAACTGTAGTAAAATATATGGTATTGAACTGAATAGTTTAAAAAGTAGCGAGAATCCAGGCCAATTTTAAGCCAACTGGTGACGTACAAAATGGCATGCAGACTCAGGATGTGGGAAACGTATGACTGAATTAATAGGTTTCTAATGTTGGAAGATTCAAGTCCATCTTCCAGTGAGATAATTATAAACAAATAAAAAACCCCACTCATCACCGCCATTGGAAGACACTTGTTTTTGCTTTGCAGTCCAACTTCTTTATAATATCATTGCTTGCCACACAGCGGCAAAAACTCCAGATTTAGGCTGCACCAGGGATGAAATTAATCTGGTCCTTGCCCGTGTGTGACACCAGGACATGCCCCATCAGTAGGCTAGAAAGCATGTTCTAGCCAGTAAATAATATGGCACCGTTTATTTTTCTCAATGCTGAAGTTTCTCTTAATCAAAGAGTTTTGTTTTAATAGGAAATAGTTGAATAAAAAGAACAGATTTTCCACTCCTCCTTTCTTTCCAGTGTTATTGACTGCTTTTTGGTTTATTCCCAAATGCTAATGAATTCAAGCCCACTGTGTGTTAGGAGCATGGTGGTGTACAGAATGCAAGAGAGGTGTGATTTGCATAAAGGTGACCTTTTGGGACATCTGAATTCAGTTCACCTTCTCAGCATTTCCATGTGGCCTTTTCTTTTTACAATTAATGCAAAGATTTGTTGCAATCTGGGAGATCTGCATGAACTTTTTTTCAGGTATTCCATACCCCCATACACTGTGATCTGGTCAGATCTTTCAGGGTACATAGGGTTTTGCCTGTCTAATATGTATGGGGCAAACTCAGGTGCTGTAGGAATGGTCTTGTTGTTGAGGCACCAGACTGGGACTCAGGAGATCTGAGTTCCAATTAGCAATAGCACTACAGAGACTCATGAATTTGCCCAACTTGTTGCAATCATCATAGGTGTTAGAAGGATCCTTCTTCAGTTTATATTTTAGACTAAACTCCTGTTGAACTCATTGAGAGTTTTGGCTGAATTAGAATTGCAGGGTTCATTTCTTAGTTTTGGTTTGTCCATCATCATGCCTGAGAAGATTAGATGTGGGCCCACAGCCACAAAGCTTAGACCCAGGTCTAACTTCTCCCAAAGTGTTTGGATCCTGGGTTTTGGTTTGGGTGCATCTTTGATGGGAAAATTTTCATCTGGAAGAATTTGGCGTTTCTCTGTTTTCTTAAGCAAGGACACAAAAGAAGGCCGTTAGCACATTCCCCAGGGATCCATCTAGATGGGCAGCAGCCAAATGAGAAGTTGATTTCCTGGCCTGAAACAGTGATCAAGGGAGATCGCCACTGATTATCTCCAGCAGTTTTCCCCCATCATTTTCATGTCCCCACCCTGCTCAGTTTGCCAAATACTCGATGAATCGCAATTTGGTACTAGAAACCACAGGAGCTGGTATGTAAGATAAGTGCTGTATCATGGCTAATGGGTAACCAGCATTCAAGTGTTCCATACCCATTACATCATGACTCACTTTCCTGTCCATATTTATGCTTTGTTTCAACAGGGTATGGACCTTTTTTTTTAAAAATTGATTTGCTTCCCACGGCGAAAGACTGAGGACTAGAAAAGTAAATTGCTGCAAATCTTGAAAAGTCTAAATCAGCAGAAATCACTTGCAAACACTAGCCAAAAGGATTTAGAATAAAAGTAGCCAGTATGGCTTTAAAAGTAGGGCAATCCAGCGCTTTGCCCTGTAGAGATTTCCTAGAAGGAGGAGCTGCTTTTAAAGAACTTCTGTGTGTTTTGGGTATTACAGCAGTTTTCATAGTTCTGCAAACCCCATTCATGCTTTTGAGTATACATTCCATATCCATTTACCCTAGCCAGACGATGGTTAACTGGGGTCTGAGTACGTTTGCTAACTATGTATAAGGGTGCAAACACCAAAGAAGGTGACTGTTACTTAAACTGGGGTATGAACAGGATTATTGTTGGAAGTTAAGGAACATAAAATTGAGGCTAAATATCAGGAATATAATCCTTAAATACGATCTATTAGACTCTGGAATAGTCTCCCAAAGGAAGTGGTGCAAATACCCATTGTTTGAGTCATTTCAAGCTAGCCTAGACAAAACACTGCAATATTGGGAATAATCCTGCCCTAGCAGGAGGATGAAGTAGATAACTGATCACTGATTTCTGTGATTCAATGATCATTGAGAAATCTGTGGCACTTTCGGCTGGGAGGATGTTCTGATGGGCAAGGCACTGAAACAGAGATTCAAGAGACATGCATTAAGTTCCTGGCTCTGCCACGGACCTCAAGAAAGTCACTTAACCTCTTTGTGCCTGGTTCTCAATCTTCTGCTATGCTGCAGGTTGTATCCCGTTCTCTGTCTTGTTTATTTAGAATGTAAACTCTTCGGGGTAGGCATGGTTTCTTCTCATGTGTATTCATAGCATCTAGCATAATGCGGCCTTGATGCCATGATAGTATAAGAAATAACTTAGAAAAATGCTTCAAAATAATTTCTGTGACAACACATGTCCAAAGTAAGCATCATTTACCA